GAGAAAAAAATTAAAGAAGAAATCCAAATTTCACAACTTCTTTGGGGGTGGCTCCCAAACGAAACACGTTGGACCCTCGGTATATTTGGAAAAAATGCTTGTCTTGATTCCCTCTATCACCCATTTTTTTTACATACGGTCATGTAACACTCTGTATATTACATATGATTATATATGCATTTTGTCCCATTGATTTTAATTGCCCTGTGCCAAGAAATGAATTTCAATAATTTTCAACAAAAGAGCATGCCAAGAAATCATTTTTAGTTGACTACGTAAGTCTAGTTGATTTCGGTACCAGCGATATAGACTTGTATTTTTTTACACAGAAAGGAGGCATTTTCAACCCTTGCATTTTGTGTAAATTTACCGTTAGATTCAACTGTTTGGAGAAACCCTAGTAACGGAAAAAAGACAACCATATTTAACCCTCCCTCCTCCTGTTATTTTACAAGGTAAAGAAAAATTTATAAAACAATGTACAGGCCGTTTCACGCAAACCGTTACCTAAAAGTATTTAGACTACCATCATTGAATAAAGAATCTGAAATTATTCAATGCTACCATTCATAATTTAAATCTGCAAATTTGCATACCAACAGTTTTTTTTATAATCTATCGAAAGAAAATATTATCATGATAGTTTCACTTCTGGTTATACCACTTTATCGGCCGCATTTGTGACATTTCCAAATGTCTATAATGACTCCTGTTATCACTGACATATTGACATTAATCCAAAGTTCTATATAAAAATTGAAATTTTAAAAGACGATTTCGGGTAAAATTTAATACAAAACTCGTCAGTAAAATGATACATTACCTGACTCGGAAATTAATCAATATTTCCTCGCCAGTAATGTATCATTTTCCGGACTTTTACGTAAATTATTAGTTATTTGTGCATCGTAAAGTAGTTTTCTGGAATTAACGTTCGGACTACTGGCATCACCGATTTGTACGGACGATTCGTTCCCGATCAAAATTTTGCTTTCGTGAATTATTTATTCTTATTGTCTTAGTGTCAATTACCGTTTGTAGCATACGAGTACCCTAGTGTTGCGCGTTAGACATTGCTATAGCAATGTTTATATTCCGCGTTATTCACACCCCTCTTGTTTATATGTTTGTATTTTCTCTGTTACAGATAAAGCAGAAAAGCGCCCTTTTGAGCTCAGAAAGGCCGTTAAGACCAGAGTTCAAAGTAAAATTTTTATTTTCGACCACTCCCTGATATAACGTGTGGTTAAATAGGTACTGGTTTTCGGATACAATCGAATTGTAATTACTTCATTTGTTTGAATAGTCATCTAACAATTAAATAGCTCCGTTGCTTTCTGGGGAAGCCTGTATTGTAATTGATAATTGCCTCGACTACGGGTTGAGCCCTTTTTGATAAAAATTGAGTTAAATTTAAACGTTAATATTTCCGATCTAGAGATTACAGTAATATTTGTAATATTGTGAGATTTATTTATTTAGTTATTATCCCTCTCTTGTTCTGGGCCCTCAATAGGCTTAATTATTATTAAGTAACAATTATTGTTTATGTTCTATCCTGTCAATTTTTTTTATTTTTTTATCTTATCAAGACCAGAACAAAGGAACTCTTAGTCTGTCTTGTTCCCCCTTGTGGTAAGTATCTTCTCCTTTGATATTTACTAAAGGTGAAATCGAAAGAAGTATTACGTTCAAATACCGCAAAAAAAGATTCTACTTTGGATTAACAGTTCGTATCCTAATTAGGAAGTTATCGTAACGAGGACATAGTCCTTCGAATCATTCTGCATTACTAAGAATTAAAGTGCATGGAAAAAAACTAAAACTTTCCCTTCTCTGTAGAAAAAATCAGTCAGAGAAACAGTGTTGTTTTGACAGTATTCAATAAACTGTATGTTAGTTAAAAAGTTGCACAAATTAATTTTTCTATTTCGGTGTCACAATGAGAATTTTGTGCAACTGTTTTCGGCAAAAACAGTGTTTCAATGAGTTCCATTGTAACATTGTTTTTGGTAACTTTTCATCTCTAAAGACGTCAACGTCAAATCATCAGATGCATGTGAAATCAAATTACGTAAAATTTATGTGTTTTCCTTGATTTTTGGTACACGAAGAACTTAATACATTCCAAATCAGCAGTTTACACATCCACCATAAATAAATTTATCTACGAATAAAAAATTACACATTCACGGAATTTAAAGTTTCCAAATGTCAGTGTTGTGTTTATCTACGCTGCCAACTTAAAATTTGTCAACGTAAATGGTGTTGCCAACTTAAGACATATTAATTCTAAAGTTTCCTGTAGTTTTTCATAATTACTTTTTAATTAAATTAAAGCCCCGAAATAGAAAAAATAGTATGAAAAACACGTGTTACAATGCTTTATCGTAATACTCCTATCTTGTGGACACTCGTGGCTCCGCTTCGCTACGCCACTCGTGCCACAAGATAGTCGTATTACAATAGATCGCATTGTAACACTTGTCTTTCAATATACTACTCCTGATCAGTAAGAACGCGTACACCGAGTCGTTATCTTCAAAATTTTCCCCGGAGTCTCCAATTGCTAGGCGATTTGAAACCAGCAGCTGATTATCACCATCTCATCCAAATTGTTTTTTGATTGGGTCATTTGGTAGAGCAAATTATAAAAAGTAAAAATTCTCTTTCATGTTATAATTTAATAAGTGTAAACTTTTTGTGTAATAAATTATTGCAAATATTTTCATGATTATTATATTATATTATGCAAGGCGAGTATTTTCCTTGGGAAATTAATTTTCTCTTCATTTAATGAAAAACTTCCTTGGTGAAAGGTCATTGTTGGTAATGCTACATAGGAATTTCAATAGTGGAAATTAAGGGTATTTTGAATTTCACTGTTAGAAAGTCAACAGGGTTAGGAATCAGGATGCTGCAGCTGAAGCATATTTCGATCAGTGTCCAGAGAGACGTCAACCTCATAAATCAATTTTTATGAAATCAATGGAAAATCTGACCAGAGCACTTGAATAGCAAAAATTATATGATTCGAGATTTAAATGAAGCAACTGTTGGTGTCATTTGAGCTGTGGTAGCAAATCCTACAATATCAAGTTGACAAATCGAAGCGGAATCCTCAATATCTAAGAGTAGGGTTGGTGGTCAGATGCCAATGGTATGGTATTCAAATAGGGACGATTTGGGTTTAGTGTGTGATACTTTTTCGAAAGCGTGTATTGATTTATAAAATCTTCCAAAGGCTCAATTTCTTGCTGGATGACCTCTCATTAGAGAGAAATAAACTTGTAACAAATATACCAAACGAGCTCCTGAGTCACTGAACATTTAATCACTTCTTTAGGCGATGATAATGAGAATACTGAAAACAGAATTGGAAAATTCGAAACCGTTCGATAATTATCATCTACCCGGACAGAAAGTCAAAAATTATGAACTCGCTTAAGACTCCTTAATATAATGTGCCAACAAGATGGTGTACCACCTCATAACTCGAGAATAGCTTTAGTCAGCTCAGTGAAGTTGGGTACCACAAATATACACAGTTCAAAAGCAATGGCATAATTTGGTACATAGACTGACTGATTAAATTTTAATCATTTGGGCTTTCTGTCCTTCCGTCTGTGCTTGTCGCTCGTTGTCTACATTGGTTTGAATCAGTTTATTGTACCCAACCTTTGCAATTATGGTCTATAATGTACAGCGTTATAGTTCAAAGAAAAAAATCCAATTTTATATTCTTTACACTATGGCTTTATTTTTGATTTCTAAATGGAACACGTAATTTAGATTTAGATTTTTAGAAACTTATTTACAGGCATCAATCCTTTTGACTAAATTTACGATCTGCAGAATTTGGATGCAGGCTTTGAAGTATTGAATTTTTGTTAGATGGAAAAATAATATATTTTTGTACCGATTAAATTTGGAAACATCGTATGGATTTCAGGATGTTAAACATAAAGATTATGGTTATAGGATGGCGTAGATCAAAACACACCCCGTCTAAAATCAAATTCAAAAGAAAGTTGAGTGCCTTCTTAATTGTGATTTGTTGTGACACGTGGCAGTATGCAGTTACAGACTGCACGTGTACCTCGTATATATTCATTTTGAACCACCGTATACGTAATAAAAATCGATTAAAAAGCGCACATCGAAGTTATGGGGTTAATTACATTTATCCACTCCATCTACGGTGGTATGCGGTTTACACAACACAACCGCTACCAAACTTACGTGCGCTTATCAAAAAGATAAGACAAGAGGCGAGGAACATGTTTTTAATTTGCATAACGAAGCTTAATGAGTACCTATGTTCGTTTCTTGTTTTCTACACTAATTAAAAATTAGTTATAAAATTTGCTGCCTGCCTTCGAACGTATAAAATCTCGCACACGCGGTCGGTACTTTTCGAAAAAATAATACAGAAGTGGATGTTCTGAGATATCGTTAATGTAAATATTTGCAATTCAAATTCGCTTTCCGAATTTAGGATGAGGGATGATGACGATATAAAACACACACTCAATTTCTTGTGTGCAATTCACTCATTCGCGGTGGTACCATTTCGGTGATTAAAATTATCATACGAAAACAATTAATCGGACCTCTCGCGTTTTCCCTTTTCTTTTGCTACTAGTGCAGTCGGGCGTGAACGACGAATGTAATAATTGCGCTCATATACGGCCTCGGCGGTTGAACCACCCCTGGTATTAGTGGCGACATTGATGTATGTCGTCAATATCAACGTGGATGACGTTTCTAATCGATGTCTCCACATCTAAAGGGGGTGGAATTTTGAACAGTCTCAAGATACATAATTGATGAAGAACGTACAGTGTCTGCATGAGGTTTCAGAAATTATGGGCGGCGTGCTGTATAGAAAATTAATATAATTCGGGCAGCCACGTTGTATATGTAATTCTAAGCGAATTTGCGATTTAATAACAGTTTCCGTTAACATTAAAATATGCAATTTTATAAATCGTACTTACGATGCTACAGCGATTACTTGCAGAAGAAGCTTACCTGTAACAAACGAAAGAATTAATTATTTAGTTCCACTTCCAAGTAATGGATGCATATCATGATTACACTACACACATTATTTCTCTGCTTCCGATTTTCATATTATACACCTCGGATCAGAAATGAAAGTGTCCCCTTTTATTCAACCCCAATGCTCGATAAACTAATATGTGGAGTAAATCATCCAGTGGTACCTACATATTAAAGGCGTTTTTTGAAGGCCCTGAAATCATCGCGAGTGTACTTGTGGTTGTGAATAACAACGTCAAACTCATTTAATCAAGAATAAGGGTTGCAATTCCAAAGTTTCTTTGTCTGTCCAAAGCTCCAAGTGCTTTAAAATGGAATTCTTGAGTAGAAATCGAAACCATAAGACAAAATATACAGCAAAATCGTCGTTGTTTAGCAATTCCAAAATTCTCCCATTATTTGTAGAAGCGATTTGCTATCGAGAACGAATAAAAAAGAATATAATTCATTAAAGCAAATCGGTCCTATCTACATTCAATTTTTCATGTTAATATTCTACTACGAAAATGTCAACATCCCCAAAATGCCCTTGTACTTGTCCAAAGTTTCTTGACTATTGACTTAAATTCCCCAATATTATACCTTAATTTCTTTGTAAGGAAGCACTCGTTTTCCGCCTGGAAGCAACCTGTTTTAGTGATCACTCTATAGATGAACACCCGGTATCTAAAATGCGTATTAAGTTGGGCCCTCGTTACGAAAATTGTAGCTGGTAAAATATTTATTTCAGTTTCGGAGTTGGAAATATAAGGTAGAAATTAGTGAGTTAATTTACAGAGCGGCCCGTTAAAGAAAATAAGGGGCCCTATTTAATTTGGCGTTTGCAATCGTTCCCGCAGGAATATTTAAATTATTTTTTCAGCCGCTGAAAGCTCTCTTGTCAGGGAAGAAGAGAGAGGATGAATCTTGTTAAGTTTTAAGCCCGTTAAATATATAGGCCAGTCATATTTTATAAAAATAAACTAAAATTGCAAACTAACGGCTAGTCCTGATTTTTTGCGCATTTTTAAGAATTAAAAAAATGCTATTGTTTGCGTTTTGTCCGCCCGTCCGTCCGTCCGGACCCACTTCTACCGTTTTGAACTACTTCTAGGGGAATGAGCCTAGAGTCCTGGAATTGTTTGCAGTAGGTAGCCTATACCTTGAAGGTGTGCCAGATGGTCATCAAATTTCGCTGTCTAAAAGGGGGCCCCCCCACGAATTATTTCCTGAGGTGCTGTTTTTGAAAGTAAAACGTACATAAATTTTACATACGACAACCAATTGGTCTCAGATTTTGCATACGTATGCCTTTAGTGGTGACAAGTTAAACTGGGTGTGTGGGGAGGGGGGGGGGTAAACACATGTTCTACCCTTCATGGTCTCATCGAGATAAATTGGTTTGTAGAAACTATAACTTTCCCGTGCGACTCTTTTTCGAGATCAGTAATCGACGGGGCTTGAGGGGGGGGGGGAGGTTAAAAATTAATTTCATTTCTCATTGTATTTTAATTAAAGGTCTCAACGAAAGGAACCGTTTTCTACCAACTACTGCCTTCTTTCTGTCCTCCTATCAAAGTACGGGGCGGAGGGATAGGAGGGGGAGTGGAATTAGTTTTATCCTTCACGGTACTCTTATGAAAGGTCTCAACGAAAGGAATTAATTTCTACCAACCATAGTCCTCCTCCTCGACCTCTTATCGTGATCGGGTATATTCCCTTATACCTCAAGAACAAGAACGGATTGTCGGAAGAGGGTGCTCACAAAGGGCGATTGAAACTTCTGCAAGACATATATCCATTGGTGATGTCAACACAAAAACTATTTCGGTTAAAAAATGCGCTTTATCTGCACAAGAGTTGTGCACAATTTATACTTGTTTATTATGTTGTTAGGACCACTACCAGTAGTGTATATTCAAGTTTGGAGCTTCAAAAGCCCTGTTCTAACTGTGTAACAAAAATCCGATACCGAACGATCCTCAAAATTTACACTGAAAAACAATAGCGATCTTTCTTCTAAATAAAATTATCGTGCACACGGACAGACAAACAGACGAATAGACAGACAGCAATCCAAAATATAAACGATCTCGGGGATCGTTAATAAAGAAGGTACCTACTTTACCAAACTTATAAAAACGATCAAAGAGACATCTTTTCAAGCTGAAGTTTCAGAAATACGTCGGCAAGTAAAAACTAGGTGCCAAATTCTTGAGAGAACAGCTTCATAGCTCAAACCAGATATTACAAAAAAAGTGTTTGGTAGTCTTATATCTTTTACCGTAATGTGCACTGCCAAAATTTTACCGAAATCAAAATAACCATTTTGCCGAAAAAAATATTTTAGTGTTTTTGATTTTTTTCACCGTTTTTTTGTAATAAAACCTGGCATAATTTTTAGCGCATTTTTTAAGAATTAAAAAGGTGGTATTGTTTGCGTTTGTCGGTCCGTCTGTCTGGATCCAGGTCTACCATTTTGTACTACTGTTAGGGGAATGGTCCGAGAATCTGGGAATGTTTTGCAATAGATAACCTAACCTTAAATGTGTGCTAGACGGCCATCACATTTTGTTGTCTTACCTCCCCCCCCCCCCTCCATGAATTTTATTTCCTGAGATACTATTTTTGAAAGTAAAACGTGAATAACTCTTACATGCGACAACCAATTGGCATCAGATTTTGCATACGCATGCCTTTAGCGGCGCGAACTAAACTTTTGAAAATGGGAGGGGGGGGGGAAGGTGAACCCACGTTCATGGTATTCGAATCACAGGTCTCATCGAAATGAATTGGTTTCTGCAAACTATAACTTTCCTGTGCAACCCCTTTTGGAGATCAGTTGATGATTGGGTGGGGGTGGAGGGAGTACAAATTGATTTTACCTTTGATGATATTCTAACTAAAGGTCTCAACGAATATCTTGAAAACGGTTTGTCGGAGGAGAGTTACCCACAAAGCCAAAATGAATCGTTTGGTGGAGAAAGATCTTCTAGACGAGACACATCTACTAGCGATGTGTGTCGGAGGCGATGTGTGTCGGGGGAAAATGCACCTACAAAGGGAAAATGCATAATTGACTCTTCTTGCTTTATATAGTGTAGATTTTGATTGTATTCCAGGCGGCCTTGAAATGTTTATGTGTAAACCCATCCCCTTTAATTTTATTATCTATCAAGAAATTAAACATCGATAAATATATTATAACTCTACTATTCACTAAGTTACTTCGGTTTATCTGCGCGAAAGTTGTGCACAATTTATACTTGTAGGTTGTATACAGAAAACGAAAGTCTTTTGAATAATTTAATAACAATTTTGCGTTGCTATTTAATCCGTGGAGCCGTTGCCTCGGAAAATTGCCAACGTACGTACATACATACAGACGGAAAAAATGTTATTATTAAAAAGTCACTTAAAATGATCTAAAACGTCGACATTTGATGAAATTTTGACATGTCCAAAAGACATTGTTCCCAATAGCCACCTAGCTACCGCCAAGAAGCTAAAAACATTCATTTAAATAGAAATCCTGTCTTTAGATAGTTTTGTTCTTTTGTGAAGTGTAAATAATAAGTGCAATCTAATTAAATTTGATGTAAGTTTATCTCTTATACTCTTATAGTATCTTACTCTTTGGAAATGGTATTATTGTTTGTGTTAGGGAGGTCCTATTCGGTTGCTGCACTTCCATGTTTTACTGGAAAATGCTAACAAGGAATGCAATGAAAAAAAAGATTTATGATCGTGAAGGTTTATACATAATTTTGGATCTAAAGAAAGCTTTTCTTTATTTTGTAATCGAAATTTGATCCATTAAATATTAAATTCATCATAATAAGCAGCCACAATATGACAATACGGAGGTTTATAAAATTTTTATTACAAAATAAAGAATCCCCGTATTTACCATAAACCAGGCCAGAAACCAAAAGGGATTTTAAAATTGTGATAATTTTCAACTTGGAACTAATGCTCATGGTGTACCTCCAACGTTAGGAACCGTCGTTGGTTAAAGTTCGAGTTATCAGCACTTCTACTTAAAAAATCAGCTCAGCTTGTTATTGATCACCTTGTATATGCAACGAACGTATTACTAAGAACGAGAAGCTTTAAATTTAGTGCAAAAGCAATCTTTTATATTTATTCATGATCTTCTTATGCTTATCAACAAGTTCCTTGTAATTTAACTGAAAGAAGTTTTTGATATAGTCAAAATACATAAAGTTTTTCAAATTAAAGCAAGCGACTAAAACACGCGCTTTATATTAAAATACTTGATAGAGCAAAAGCGGGGCAGGTTCTTTTTAGAAGTACGAAATGAATGTAAACTCATTATAAAGTTGCTCTCGCAAAATTACTTAGATAGTTCCGGAAATACACTTGAACTAAAACGTTAGTCGACGCCGACGACGCTTCGGCTCATTACCAGAGGCTGTTGCACCACATCACCCCACAGTAATAATCAAGGTGCGGGTGCTACGTATAGAGTAGGGACATCATTTAGTAGACGATCAAAGTCTCTATTAAAAGCTTTGGCGAAGTGCTCCCATTGTTACTAATTTAATTCCTTGCAAGCGAAGGTTTTTTTGTGTAGCATCTCTTACCTGAACGTCGTAATCGATTAGTAAAAATATCCATTATAAATGAAAAAAATCTTCGCTAGTAAAAGGCAGTAGCGTAAATGAGTAATAAACGTATGAAGTCGCTTCAAAGCGAGAGAGGCACTTACCAGATAATTAGATCTGGCGGTTTACGAGAAGATGCATATTCTTTTAGAAGGCAAGAGACAAGAAGACGTAGTCCCAAAGTGCACAATTACATTTTCTAATAATCTTGCGGTTCGTGACCGAAACAATTTTAGATGTCTGCTGCGGATAATAGACAATTATTTGAGGGTTTTCCTTTCATATCTGTCCGAGTGTTTTTTATCGTTTCGTGTTGCCCACTTCAATTATTATAATCAAAATTAATGAGATATGACGAAATTA